GCCATAGGAAAGAAAATGGTTCTAGTATCCTTCATTGAGGGTGAAAGGGTTTGCACCAAAATGATAACATTTAATATAGTCAACAGAGACTACCCATACACCACCATTTTTGGTAGAGGATTAACCAACAAGTTCGAAGTCACTGTCAAACAGAGTTACTTGTGCATGAAAATGCCATCACCATTCGACATAATCACCATGCATGGTGATCAAATTGCAGCTAAGAGAATTGAGGCAAAGGCAACACCTAGCTATAGCCTCATAAACAAAGTCACAAAACAGCCTTGAGCAGCTAAAAATGTCAACGAAAAGACCACCAATCCTAAGGTGGAGTCAGGCGAAGACACCCAAACGACACCGCTATCCAAAATGACTCCAAATAAATGTGTTGATCTTGGATCAAACGTGGATCCAATGAAAAAGAAGAACTAATTTTGTTCCTCGATGAAAATAAAGATGTTTTTGCTTGGTCGGCAAAAGATCTTTAAGGTGTCATTCATGATCTGGCACAACATTGTCTAAATGTAAAACCAGAGGCCAAGCAAAGAAAGGAAAAGCTCAGGAAAATATCGAGTGAGTGTGCAAAGGCAGTGAAGGTCAAAGTACAAAGATTGCTTGACACAAAAGTCATTAGGCTAGTATAGTACCTAGAAATGGCTTGCAAATGTAGTCATGGTCAAGAAAAAGAATGGCAAGTGGAGAATGTGTGTTGATTTCATAGATTTGAACAAATTCTACCCAAAAGATCCATAGCCCTTGCCATGAATTGACAAATTAGTTGATATACCAGACGGATGCGAAATGATGAGTCTCCTTGATTATTTTTGGGCTATCACCAGATCTGGTTAAATAGTGAGGATGAAGAGAAAACAAGCTTTATCACACCTTGGGGATGTATTGTTTCCGATGCTTGTCAGAAGGACTGGGAAATGTAGGGCCCACCTTCTCAAGAATGATAGATATTGTAATGACCCAAGTTCGCTACCCCATAGGCTCTCATTCTTGGATATCTGAGACACAACCGGTTGAACGCCATGGACACCCTCAGCGACACAAAACAAAGAAAAGCTACGTCCTAACGACCAACTAACCAACAACCCACTGAGTCAACTACCAATCAACCAGATTCAGCTGAACAACCACCGAACAAGAGTATCACTTGAAGAACCCAAACTAAGGTCCTTATATTCACTGAAGGATTAAGTAAAGCCATTGCAAACTCCAATATGGACTCAAGATTGGAGCGATCAGATTCTAAGTTTGGATAGGCGAAGTCAGAATCTACCAGACTATTCGCCACTTATACTGGACCATCTGATAAGTGTGCGGAAACAACAGATTAAGTGGGAAGTGAGCTATCATCCATTGAGGACTATGGCCCACAAGTCAACATGAAATAGAGACATATCTCAGCAACTGACCCTCAGCTCCACTCACTACCTCACTCTCCTCATTTCCCTCTTCCTCCCTCTCTCTCTGAGAATGAAGAGCAAGAAGGAGAAAGCAAGAACTAGAGAGAGAAAGTGAGATGAATGAAGAAGGGAGGATAGATCAAGCTTACCAAGGGCAACAAGATTAGCTATAGATCAAGATCAAGGATCTCAACCACTTCAGATGATATGGTTTGCTCAAGAACACTCTCTTCTCATCATCTTGAGATCAATCCCTAAACCCTAACTCAAGTCTTTCCTCTTGCATGGATGGATTAGGAGTACTACTTGGTGGAAGCAACCCAAGGGTAAGGATCAAGTGTGCTACAACTCAACACTATTGGGATTTGGTTTAGGTTTCCTCTCATATGGATTATTGGGTGTTTGTGTAAGAGGAAATATCTTCCTTTAGCTTGGAGGCAAGGATGGCAAGTGTGGATCTCCATCTTGATGACAAGGAACTCATCAAGAGCCCAAGCTAAGGTGTCATGCCCAATCTCTCTTTATCTTTTGGATTTTCTCTCAATTAAGGTGAATCACTAGTTATACTAGTCAACCGAAGATCTAGGCATGAACCCCAAGACTTTCACCCAAGAACCTAGGAGCCTAGGTTCTATCGCCCAACTGATGGAGTGTCCATCATTAGGATGGAGTGTTCATCAATCCCGAGTCTAGCCACTAAAAAGCTTCATCTATAGTTAGCCTGAGCCACCGGAGTGTCCGCCGTATCTCGTGGAGTGTCCGTTGACTTATAAAACCTTATAAGCGAGTGAACCTGAGAGTGACTGTAACACCCGGTTTTAAGGACAAAGCCGAATGCACACCATATGTGAGCCCTAGTAACCAAACCTCACATATAGCTACAAATGAAGGGGCAGTATCAATTCACAATGCTTAGTAAATAGCGAACTTAGCAAAAGAGATAACCCTAGAAAGTAATCAACGGATAGACAACTCTAATCTCCGGGTGCAGACTTCACTCCACTGGATCCAACTGACTGGTTGATCACAAGCCTAACTTCTCAAGTCTCTGACAAACTATTATCCGGCCTGAGGTGTGGGGGAAATTGCAAGAGTGAGTCCATGTCGAACTCCGCAAATATAGCAACAAGGTAGTGTATTCCATGACCACATGATCAAGTATAATTGAATAATAAATAGCTCAAAATAACTCAGTTAAGCATAATTAAACAAGTGCTCATCTTTGGCGTAAGAATCCCTTGGCCGCTCGTGACCGTGAGCACGGCTGATATATCAGTTGATTAAACTCTGCGCAGAGGTGTACACTTTCACTTTGAGTCGTGAATTGCCCTTTCGCCCGAGGTCACGAGCCTCTTAATCCTCTACCAAGGAAGGCCCGCAGGGTTCACTATGAAGCCTTTCAAAGGTTCCGTCTAACCGGGAAGGGCCGCAGGGTCATCGGATATAGGAACCCCCCTTCCAAAAAAAATAAAAGGCCGCTTCCATAGCTAGGCTCAACAGGACAGAGGCTGTCCTATACCCAACTCGCAGTATCCTCTAAGCCGGCTAGAAAAAGACCTCATACCGAGCTAAAGCCAGAGCCATATAGCCCTCACAGCTGTACTGTAAGTCCCGGATGATCACTTACAAATGAGACCTTGTGGAGAGGGAATTTAACCCTCCTGTTGTTGCTAACAAGTCATCTTTTATATTTATAGCATATTCATTAATCAAGTTTCAAGATCATGGTCACAGAAAGAAAACCCAAATTATACTTGCCTTAAGCTCTTATCTTCTTTTTCTTGTAGTCAAAACCTTCAGTAAACTTCTTCTTGATCTCCAACTTCTTATAGATCACCAACGCAAAACTCACTGACTGAGACCGATCACAAAGCACCACACAAGCATCCGAACAAACATGCATTGCAAACATAGTAGATTAGAACAATACACCAATCAATAAAAAGGTTTGAAAACCAACATACGCATTGCTACGATCACACATACTGGAGAAACACTCTAACCGGAACTAAGAAACGATGGCCGGGAGTTTTATATTACAAAAGAAAAGACTAGGCGCATGGTTTGCTTCTAATTAGAAAGGATCATGTGCAGAATATAACTTAGTCAATTTATATATTTTTTTAATTAAAACACCGAGTTCAGTCTAGTGATATTTTATTTTGAAGAATCGTTATAAGCAAACAAAATTATTTATGATAAGAATTTAAACAAGATTCATGCCTAACATGTTTAGACCAAGCAGGGTATAAATTAAATATATTCATGTTCTAATAAATCAAATTAACATTTGATATATAAAAGGGGACGTTAAACCTATATTGTTTTTATTATAAAACTAGTTGCGTGTAGATTAATAAAATTATTATTTGATTATATAAACACTTAAATAGATAACATGGTAAACGTACAGACTATCGGGTACGTCACGTCTTTAGGAAACTAACACAGAAAGAAAGGACTAAATAAAACAAAGCTAAGATGAGAATACGGCCAGATTATACACAAGAGCTCACAGGGAATTGGAGGTGTAGACGAGTAGTTGTTTCTGCATGGCGTAGTGCATGGATGAAGGTACTGGCTTGTGTGTATACAAGCATGCATGGCGCTGAGTTGGAAGCATGCAGGTGTGCTTGCTAGGCAACGGGTTGAGCAGTATATGGATAGATAGCTTGCTTGGTACAGACACTCGACCAAGCCGAGGCAAGATGCAATTCACACGTGATGGACGAGGGAGACATGAACGTGTGCCTGGAGTTCTCACCGATCAAGTTTGATAATGAATTCGACGATCCACGGCACAAAGGCAGAATCGACGGGCGTGGCGGCGGTTCACAAGATAGCGAACAAAGACGATGGAATCAGCAATGACCGGACGTGGTTGAGCAGTCTTGGAGCGCGTACGTCCCACTGCGAGCGGACGACGACGACGAGGCACGGAGCAGCTCAGAGGCAGGGCGGCGAAGGTACTCCTTGGACAGCTTTGGTCGGGCATGGCGGTTAGGATCATGCATGAGGCCGGTGATGCAAGACGAGACGGCGGCGGCGACAGCGTAGGGCTGCGTACAATTTGATTACCTATATTGGGATTGCAAGGGTTTGGAAAAGGATGCGATGGCTGAGTTTCCTATTTAAAGATGTACGTGACAAACGTGATAAAGATGGATGTTGCGGCCTATAGTTTGGTATAGGAAATATGGTCGGATTCCTCATAGGTAACGATAGAATTGAGGCCAGCAACAGGCTGACGTGTATCAGATACGCCAGGCATAGTTGCTTTGCATCTTTAGATTATGAACATCACACGTGGCAAAAGGTGCATGGAACAAAAGAAAGAAAAGCAGATAAGGTCCAGCATCCGTATTTTCATTGTATTTGTGGATTTGTTTTTCTAAAGGAAAACGGCAAGAAAACATGAGATGATGTCATCAAAGCTAACAATGACATCATCAAGCTAACAAGGCATGCAAGCTCTCGGTTTGACTCTGGAAAGGAACATGAAGATACAGGAGGATCCAGAGAGCTCACGTAGGGATTTCTGAAAGACGATGTGTGCTTGTCTCATCTTGCTTTGGGCTGACTCGAGCCATGCATGAACTGAAAACGACGACGGTGGAGCTCGGTAAGGAGTCGAATTCATCGGTGATGCAACGAAACGGCTCGGCGTGCGGCTACCTGCGAATTCGACGGCGAAGTGTGATGAACGCAGAACAAGACAGAGAGGAGGAACCGCGCCTGAAGCTTCTTCACCTTGATGCCGAATACGTCAACGGTCTAGGCAAGACGGCAAGGCAGCAAAGGTCGTCAACAGCGGCGGCGACTTCGTCTGCTTGTCAACGAGATCCAAACGGCACAGCGCGGGGCAAAGCTAGGGCAAAGATGGCGGCGTACAAGGGAACCGGGGCACGAACGACGGGCTGCTTTTACAGGGGCAAGGGTGTGGCACGCACGCCACAATCCGCGGAAGATACGAGCGTGGCTGTGGACCCGGAACAAGTCCCGCTCGGCTTCGGCTGGATGTGGGAGACGACGCCGATGCGTGGGACCTCCTCGTCATCGATAGATGGCATGGGACCATGATGTCAGCCAGAGAGAGGGAGAGGGCAGGCCGAGATGATGGGCCAGCGAAGCGGCTCGGGCTGCCTCCAGCCGAGCAAGGAAAGTGGCCAGCAGGCCGAAAAACAAGAGAGAGAAGAAGTTTTCCTTTTTCTGAAACTGAATTTTCCAAGGCTTTTCAAATTCATTTTCAAGAGATTTTGAACTCCTTTTTATCTTTAGTCAAAACCAATCAACACAACAGAAAATATGCAGCAGCATGAGTGCACACACATGTATCTAACCTTATATTAGATTTCAATTTCACAAAACTATTTATTTAGCTTATGTTAAATACTCACAAAATGCATATTTAAATCAATTTTAACTATTTTGAAAACATGTAAATGTTAGGGTGTTACAGTGACCAGTTCATATCGATGCGTCCATCACTCATGGTGGGGCATCCGATGAATTATATGAAATAGCCACCCAGCAACCCGAGAATCCTAGCTTGTACTAGACCATCCGTCAGTCGATTAGATCATCCGATGGTATTAGTGAACCTTAGAATCGACTAAACCCTGAACCTACCGGAGCCTCTATGATTTCACAAGGAGTATCCGTTAACTTGTACAGAGCTAGAACAGAGTCATCTCACCATAGAACCTGGTACAGTGGAGTGTCCGTCAGTTAGAATGGAGTGTCCACCATCACTACTAGAAATATTCACTTCTATGACAAAAATCTTAATGGTGAATCCAAAACCATCATAAAAAATTGTTTTTTATGATGGAAATTTTGGTTTCATCATAGATCATCGGTGACGATCCTCAAGCCCCTGTTATCTATGATGAAATCGGGTATCGTCACAAAAGATGTCACAAAATGGCATAGGGTTTCGTCACAGATCACTCGCGTGACTGTTCCTGCTCGTTTGTGACGATCTTATTCAGAACTGTGATGAATAGGGCTTCATCATTGAACTAATTACTAATCTATGATGAACAATATTCGATCTGTAATGATGATCTACAGTTACTTATCCACATGGCACTTTCTCCATCCAATGTGTACTTATGGGACCTATAGTTACTCATCCATGATGCTTGCAATTCGTCATAAAAGTCTTCGCTCGATCCTTTCTCCATGCGACGTGTACCTAGGGACCCTTCTCCATCCGACCTGTGGGACCCGACGGCTTAAGTGTCAGTGTACCTGTGGGGCCTTTCTCCATCTCCGTCAGACCTATGGGACCTGACGACTTACGTGTCACTTGTGCTTATGGACCCTTCTCTATCCGACTTGTGGGATCCAGTGGCACCTTTCTCTATCTCCATCCAACCTATGGGACCCGATAGCTTGCGTGTCACATGTTCGACATGTGGGACCTGATGTCACCTTTCTCCATCTCCATCTCACCTGTGGGATCTGATGGCTTGCATGTCACATGTACGTGTAGGACCCTTCTCCATCTGTATCCAACTTGTGGGACCTAACGGCTTGTGTGTCACTTGTGGACCCTTTCTCCATCTGACCTGTGGGACCCAACAGCTTGCATGTCACTTGTGGACCCTTTCTCCATCTGACCTATGGGACCCGACAACTTACATGTCACGTATAACTGTGGGACCTTTCTCCATCTCTATCTGACCAGTGGGACCCGACAGCTTGCGTGTCACTTGTTGCCGCCGAGGTTTAATAAATTTAGACTCAAAAAAACCTTAAGACTTGGGAGTTGAACCCAAGACCCAGATCAAGGAATAGACTGTCTTCACCATTGCGCTAGATGCCTGGTTGTGTTGACATGTCATTTTAGTAGTATATGTTCTCTATGTGGACAGGTTGACTTATGTATTGGATATATCCCCTGCAAGTGGAAACAAATCTATGCCCGTTGGACTCACGGTGGTGACGATGGTGGCAATGGAGGATCCCTAGTGTGCTTTGGTGGCCCAGGCATCTATGTTTGTTGTGTGCCATGGCAAAGGTGACAGATCCAATCCATAGGTCTCCTTTCTCGCCTTTTCTTGTTCTCTTCACTGTTTTGGTCCTTGCTTGAACATGAGGCATACAAGAAACATTGTACCATTTCAGATCTGGTTAGGCCAATGATGATGAAAAGAACTAGGAGGTGGCACTAGTTGGGTTTTTGCAGGCGCGTGTCACTTGCAGTTCTGTCTAGGCAAACAAATAGGTCCTTCGCTTCTTCTGCCTTAAACTATTTTTTTCTGTCTAGTGCTTGCTTGATTCTACATTTCTATTTCATATGCTCTAGTGCCACCAGTGAATCCTTTTGGCATTTTGAACTTGCAACATATCTGAGGCCACATTTCTATGCCAATGATGTCTACATGGCTGTTGTTGGTATTTCTTAGCGTAAGCAAAAGAATCCGCAAGTGCATGGATATACCATTGTAGCACTTCACCCAGAACTATTTAGGGTATCGTATTTTCCCAAAGGAACGGATGTGTAAAGCCTCTTAGATAGTTCGCCCAAGATAACAAGAAGAAGGATAGCTCGGGTAGTGAGGTTTTTCTAAGGATAGAGATCCTAAGTTAAGATAGCTTTGCCACTAAAGACTTGCTTTGGGCACCGGAGCACACCTGGTCTACCAGGCGATCCAAGCCTATAGCTCTACGCCGAACCCAAACATGGGGATTACAAGGGATGGACAGAGCTATCACCACCTGTCACCTACCCCTCAACTATGGGGAACGAGGAAAATGAAGGTAGCCTCAAGCCTAGACACCATGTCTATGCTATTGACTACTACTCTAGTGTGCATGCAAGGGTTATCCGTCTTTATTAGGGCCCTTCTACTAGAGTATCCATCATCAGGACGGACAATGAAGCCGCAAGAAAGTAGTGATCAAAGATAATTTTTCTTAAGAACTCAACACCAAAGATAAACACAAACCTATACTCCAAGTAGTACTTGGTTCATTGAGGTACAAGTGTAGAGGGAGCCAACATCCTTGGCACTCTGTCTACTCGGTGTACTAGGGTCACCAAGTATAAGAAGTAGAGGTAGTTGACACTCCAGCACTCCTCCAACTCATAGCTCACTCACTCCCTATTCTAATTCTAGCTATAGCCTAGGTAGGAATGAAGCACTTCTTCTCTCTTGCCCTCTTGCATGTTGATGATTCATGAATGTGAAGGGGGGTCTTCTTATATAGGCTTGAGGAGGTCGGTTTGCTTGGTATTTTAGGAAAGCACCGCATGCCACTGGCTCCACGTGCATTGAATGCACAGCCTAAGAAATTGGGGCCAGGCAGAGGTTGGGGTAGTCCGGCCACACCCAGGGTGTGGCCGCACCCGAGGCTACACGCCTGGCCACCGTCTTTGGTGTGTGGGCTCCAAGCTAGGCCTAGGCCTCTACTGTGCTAGTGTTCTGCTCTTGTCTGGAGTATGAATGGGCTTTTTGCATATGTTTTGCTTGAATGCGCCTTCTCGGTTGTGCATTTTGGTGCATTTTCACGTGTTGCCTTGCAAAACATGTATATACCAAAACTCGTGGAAAATGTGGGTTGTAAGCCGTAATTCTAAATTTTGGCATTCAAATTTGTCTTATTTTGTTTAAATGTTGGTGGTGGAGATATAAGTTATGCATTGCCAATATGTGTTGGATGTATTAGGATGCAGCTCATATGATTGCTTTCTGTGTCTTCTCCTTGTTGATAACCAAGTTATCCATTTGGTTCCAAACAAGATGAAGACAACGAAAGCAAATCATTGCTTTGTGTCCATCATTCACATGACTGAGGCCACTAATGTCTAAGTTGCACATGTTGCTATTGATGCCAATGATGATCAATGCCACTTGTTCACTGACATTCTACTTGTGAAAACTGAGGCAGCCTATTTGGGTTGTGCAGATTTGAAATGAGTTGTCCCTGCTTTGTTGTGTTCAATGGCCATGAGCCAAGAGTTTACTACAATTGGCCTGACTACCAGGAACAAGTTTATAGGTTTCGTGGTGCTTGTTATAAAAAGTACAACTCCTATGAAGAAGGAATTGCTGCCTTCAAGTCAATAATCACCTGAAATACACCCTTAGCTCATGATGATGACTTCTATCTTCAAAACCCAACAACTGTTCCACCCTCTTTGTCCTTCAAAACTATTGTAATTATAGTCCTCTTAATCTTTGTCTGCCTCCTATGGAAGAAGCTCTGAGCTCATGTACTGATTTGTAAGTGTGATGGTTAGACTTAATTTAGCTGGAATTGTAATGGTTACAGCTCCATTAACTGCTACTCTAGTTTTAGTTATATATATCTATGTGGTGCTACTCTAAATTTAGATGAGGTCGTACCATGAAAATTGTTAATGGTTGTTAAAGTTGCACTTTAGTATGAGTTGTGGACTTCACTGATGGATCTTTGTTGGATTATTTTCCTCCTCAGTGATCTCATTACTAGCAAGTTCTCATCCTACTCAATGCACACTGACGAAATGGAGGAGGCCTCTAACAAGAGGAATGCAGTGGCCAGCCTCATGGATGATGTCTTTGTGGAGATCCTTCGCCGCCTCCCGTCTCGCTCCTTGTTCTGCTGCAAATGTGTCTATCGCTCCTAGAAATGCCTCATCTTGGACAACCATAAGTTGATGCCCCAGACTGTGGCTGACTTCTTCTATGATGGAATCTATGGCCAACAAAACTTCACCAGCATCATCGATGTTTACCCCTCCTTGTCCTTCTTGCCCTTCACCATGAACAATGTAGCTATCTCATATTGCTGCAACAACCTCATCCTATGCTGTGCCTTGGGGCTGATAGATACCGCTATGTCATCTGCAATCCAGCAACCTAGAAGTTAAAGGTACTGCCGCCTAGAATCCATTTTATTGGTGAGGCTCGATTGGGGTTCAATTTGATAGCCTCCTTGCACTTCCATGTGTCTGAATATATGGATGAGGATGGTCAGTGTGTGGGTGTGGTCATCTACTCATCTCAAACTATAGCATGGATCTTTAAGGAATCTAAATGGGGCGAGGAGGCTGAGTTGATATTTTCAAAATCAGCAATTGTGTTTCT